ATCAATTCCTTGTGTTCTTTCTGTTCTGAAATTTGATAGGAAAAAAAACAAGTGAACATGTAATGATATACCAAATGAAGCACAATGCAACCCCAAGCATGCAATTATAAACAAAAAACATACACAATAGCAAAATACAAACACATGTACCAATCTTCCTTTTATTTCCTCGATCCTGAATTTCAACAACTTCAACATCAGATGAACTTCTGTGACACTTTTCCATCTTCACTTTCACTGCACTATTGGATTTTTCCACTTTCACATTCGCAGAACTATAAGGTTTTTCTACTTTCACATTTACAACACCATTAGAAGGAGCAAGAGAACTCAGATGAGCACTAGAACCACATGAAATCCTCGCACCAGAACCCACCGATTTTACTGTTTGGGGAACTTTCGGGTTCACAGCAGGAATCACGAGTTCAGTTCTAGATTGAGACTGACTGCTAGAAGAAGCTTCATTCAAACGAACCGGACTTGGCGACTTCCTCTCCATCTTCACTTTCTTGATACCGTTCTCCACAGAAGATTTATTCGACACTGATGCATTGCTTCTTCCACTTAACCGAGCCAATTTCGTCTGAGAATCCTCTAACCTCTTCTCCGCTTCAACAAGCTGCACACCTTTCCAAGCAAATAATCAAGCACCGATTTAATTTTGTTAATTAAACCACTAATTTCAGTATTTTTCTTTCTATTTCAATCAATCTATCAAAGAATCAAAAACCTACTTAATATTCGAGAATTGATTTATTCTGTTATCGATAATTAGAAAATCAGATAAAAAAATCAAAATTTAATTATAACAATAAAAAAAAGACAAAAAATAAACAATATTTTATTGAAAAAAATCGGAAATGAAGAGATTTGAAAATTGAAGAAGAAGAAGGAACCTGAGTTCTATAATAAGAAAGGCGTTGCTTAAGATGTTGGACTTCACGAGAGCGGTGTTCGATTAAAGCAATGAAAGCGACCTTTTGCTCTTCTATGCTATCTTCTTCTTCTTCTTCTCTGCCGTTGTTCTCGTTCGATTTTTGATTTAGCGACGCTTCATTATCGTCGTCGTTGTTTCGCTGCTCTAGTTTTGGCCTTTTCAGGATCGGAGAAGGCGTGCTCATTTTTTCTTTGTGTCTCTCTGTGTGTTTGTACAGTGCGGTTTTGGGTTTGCTTTGTTTTGTCGACGAGCGCGAGGGGGGGGAGAGGGAGGGAGGGAGAATATTAATATTTATATTTATGGGGACGAGGAAGGTGAAAATCTGGATTGTTTATTGGCGATTTATAGAAAGATTAAATGATAATATTGCGTATTCAATGTTTTTTAATTGAAAAATAGTAAAATTTGTGGAAATGTGATCATCTCAAAGCTAATTTAAAAGTGGATAGCGTGATGTTTTTTAAAATATTTTTTATTTAAAAATATCTTTTAAAAAATATTAATATATTAAAATATAAAAAATTATTTGAAAATATTAAAAAAATAATTTGAAAAACAATAATATTTTTTTTAAAAAATATTTTTAAAATACAAAAAGAATTGATGGACTCTTATTATGATTACCTGCAAAAAAAATTTCCGAGAGATTTAACAACAATTGTAATTACATTAATTGATTTAAAAAGTTAAATCAATTTATTATCCTTAGGAAAGATGAGATGTATAATAATGTTATCATGATTGAAATAATGAAAATAAAATAATTAGTTTTTTTAGAAAGAAAATAGAATCTCATTGTACTAAATAAAATACAAACGGATCACTATTTTTATATTACATTTATAAATATCACAAATTATTATTTAGAAATGATATTGTAAGACAATTGAAAGGGAAAAAACCTTTTTTCAAGCTTGGAATAAAACCCTGGTAGCATTAAAAGGCATAAATGATTTGGCAAAACACTTGCTTAAATTACCTCGAGTTTTTATATAAAAATTAAATTATAAAATATATAAAAAAATATCAATCTAATATAAACATTATTTAAGCAACTCAAAATAAAAAATAACATAATAAACAAAAAGCATATAAAAATCCAAGTTTTGAGTGAGAAATATAAAGTCCTAATAATTATTAGTAAGTAAATAGTAATAAATACTTGTCACCTTCTTATTACTATAAGGACCTAAATAACTTAATTAAATATTTATTAAAACATTTTATGTGTATATTTATGTGTCTGAATTCAATGTATAAAATGATATGGTATATACTTCAAGCATTCACTTTAACAAGTAATTTTTTTCTCTAAAAAAATCAATTTAAAAACATCTAAAACCTTTAAACTTTCTTGAGTAAACATTCGCAAGATAGTTTTTTCCATCAAATTCCTACACACTCACACACATATAAACATCTAGATGTAAATTGAAAAATCTATACATGTAGCTAATTAAACAACTCAATAACTACTGTGTAAAATAATGAAAAAAATTCATTAACAATAAATAAAAATAAAATTGAGAAAATAAAATGCAAAATGAAAATCAAGATATCTCATGTCATAATTTACTTGGTCTTGTTTAATAAATATCAAAATAAATTTATAATAAAAAAATATAAAATTTGTAATAAAAACTGAGATACACATAAAATTTATGGAACAATAATTGTATTTAAAAGAAAACAATGCAAGGTTATACATATGAAAAATCTTATAAAAAATCAATATTAAAAAAATAATCTATATAAAATTAAAAAAAAAACCACAGATGAATCATACTTATCTAAACATAAACCAAAAATTTATTTGAAAAAATATACACAAATAATTTATTATTTAAAAAATACTTAAAAATTATATATATATATAAAACCATGTTAGGCGCTTACACATTGGTAAGCTAAGCACTTGAATTTGACAAGCATATTAGATCCATGTTGGTTGAATCTAATAACTAAGTGTGTTTAAGATTATGATATAGATTATTTTTAACGTAATTTTTACTTTAAAATATATCAAAATAACATTTTTTTTATTTTTAATTTCAACATATTAATATAATTTTAAAATATAAAATAATATTTTTAAACAAAAAAAATAACTTTTTCTTAAAACGAGATCCAGTTGCCAAATAAATAGCACATAAACATGTGATGATAAGGCTTTGTCCTTATACACATAACGCGCAAAACCAAAGTCTCCTTGATAGCTATGCTTCAATGCACAAATATCTTTACTATTTTTTAAAAACAATTATTTTATGCATTAATAAGTGTATTTGCAAGCTAATCTCATCCTGATAAATCTAATTATTGAAATTTAGAAAAAATTAATAAAATAACTCATCAATTCAAAATCATTTTTTTCATTTTAATTTTAATAATAAATTATGAGATTTGATTTTGCATCAAGCTCAGTGCAAGCTCTATGTCCATACAATCTGGAAAAGCAATAAAATCCTTCCTTTACATGAAAATAATAATAGTAATGCGGGTCTAGAATTTTTGAACAAATTTTTTTATTAAAATAAATTTATAACAAGAAAAAACACATAAAATTTATAATAGAAACCAACACACATACAAAATTGACGAGGTTATAAAAATTACAGGGAATGTTCTACGATGAATTACTCCTAGAAATTCCCCTACATTATTTATAGTGAATTCAATGATCTTCACTTCAAGACTATGCAGGTTTTTTCTTGGCCAAATCTTTTTCTAGGAGAATATCAACTCTTGTGAAATAAATATTTGCACAAAGTTTCCTGAGGATATTGATGAGGGACTTTCCAAAAATTAAGTCACTATCAGAAATATTTGTGTAAAGAACGACATTAATAGAGATATTAAAAAGCTTTCATAAATGTATAGAAAGGGATGGAAAAAGGATCTAAAGATGAGGAGAAGGGAGCTCAATCCTTTTTCTACTTCTTTTCTCTTCTTTTATATTACCTGATTTTTTCTGTCTCATATAACATAAAAAAGATAAAAAAATAATATTTATATAATTAAAATAATATTATTTTAATGTATGTATCATCACATATAATTAATATAAGCATAAATGACTTGTTTGTATTTAAAGGAATTATGATAGACATTATAATTATTAATCCAGAGAGAAACTTAAGGTAGAGTGACCCTTCAATTAGACATCCAATCTAAAAAATATTGGGTCCAATTCAAAGTTGAAGCACATGAAAAAACATGATGCGGGTATATCTAAGTTAAATAAATTATTATAGATATTATAATTATTAATCCAGACTCAGAAACTTAAGATAGAGTGACCCTTCAATTAGACATCCAATTTAAAAAATATTAGGTCAAATTCAAAGTTGAAGCCCATGAAAAAACAGGATGCGGGTATATCTAATTCTAACATGAAGTCAAGCATGAATATTTTTAGACTCAGCTTGGAAATTATCATCCCCTTCCTAACTTAGAGTTATGCCGAACAAGATATAATCTCACCTCAAGTTATAACTTTCACCCGTTATTTCTTAAATGGGGTTGATTTAAGAAAGCATTACCCATCACACCTCAATTCTTAAGATTGTCAACAAAATATCATGTCATTCATCCCGATGAAAATGCTAGCTTTGGAATGAGTCTAATTAAGGGCTCATCCGTATTGTATTATAATTACATTTAGATAAAGGAAAAATAATTTATAATTTATAAGTTAATTTTCAATTTATTTATTATGATATAGTTAAATACCAAAAAAATATTTATGAACTCATTTTTTATTACCAGACTTGAAAACAATTCCCTTCATGAAAACAACTTTCCAAAACAGAAACTACAAACGAGGCCTGAAACTAGATATGGAGTCGCGATACGAGGCAATTTTTGCACAAGTTCTAATTGTAAATTGGGTTTTGTCGGATTCAAAGTGAAAGTCTGTTTAGAAACTAAACAACATTATGGCTTGGAGGAACATTGAAAATTATTTATGCGCCGCCCCCCGCCCCCGCCCCCCGCATTCCCACCTTACGCTCTGAAAAAAATAGTAGCATTTCTCTCCGGAATGAACTTGCATATGCTTGTAAGAATCAACCATTTTCATTCTACAGAAACATACTCAAGCGAGGGTAAACTGTACATTTCTATCAGCGAGATAGAGCTCCTTGCTTACGCTATTAAGATCACAACTTACAACTTACCATTCAACATTTTGGCTGGAGTCATCAAGCAAGATATAATCCCTCCGTATGCACTGATCAATGCCTGATAGAGGCAAGCAAGTTTTCAACTTTTCCAACTTTATATGCAACCAATATTTGGAATGTAACCTTCTCTCTTCATCTCCTCATTCAGCAGTTGGTATATGTTCACCGAATGATGATGTAAGTTGTCACTAGCATGAAATTCATGAACATGAGCTCCAATGTCAATCCAGCTACAGCCAGGGGTTTTAGAGACACCACACTGCCTCATCAACACCCTCATTTTTGCAGAATCATCCCACCTTCTCATATTTGCATATATCTTAGATGAGATAATATAGTTTCCTGAATTTGATAGCTCCATCTCTAGAAGCAATTGAATGACCCTTTCACCAACATCTGCATTTCTACGCCTCTGACAGGCACCAAGCAATGACCCCAACACAATTTCATCTGGTTTTCCAGGCATCTTCTTGATTAAGTCCCAAGCTTCGTACAGAAGTCCTGCACGTGCACAAAGATCAACCATGCAAGAATAATGCTCGACTTTTGGGACCAATCCAAATGACAAATTCATTGATTCAAACAATTGACGGCCCTCATCAACTAACCCGGCATGCACACATGCAGAGAGTACTCCTATGAAAGTGATGTCATTAGGCTGAACAGTGCCATTATCCTTTGACATGCGCCTGAATAATGACAAAGCTTCCTGGGCCTGCCCATGAAAAGCAAGAGCTGAAATCATGGCATTCCATGAAACCTCATTTTTACGGGGCATCCTCTCAAAAACCCTGAGTGCATCATCCAAGCTCCCACATTTTGCATACATATCAATTAATGCACTCGCAACATAGACATCGTGCTGCAAACCTCTTTCTGATGCATGTGTCTCAACCCATTTCCCCAAATCAAGGGCCCCGATTGTGGAACATGCAGACAATACTTCAATCATTGTGACTTTATCTGGATTAGGCCCTGCCTCTCTCATTCCATTGAATAGGACAATTGCTTCATTGGAAGCTCCATTCTGTGCATACCTATGAAGCGATAGTTGAACCCAAAAAAAAAATCATATTAACTTGAAACGCATTTACAAATTTCATATATCTGTGTGGTTTTTATTTCATAGCTGATTAATTAAGAAGAATTCAAATTTCAAGTTAGTTCAAAGGAGCAGAAATAGACACAATTCCATTATATGTGACAATTACAAAGTATAAAACCGATCTAATTACCCTGTGATAATGGCATTCCAGGTGACAACATCCTTGTTTGGCATCGAATCAAAGACCCTCCTCGCAGATATCAAATCCCCACACTTACCATACATGTCAATCAAAGCAGACCCCACATACGAATTTACCTCCATCTTCTTCTCCAAAACAAACCCCTCCACCCATCTCCCCAAACCCAAATCCCCCAAATCCCCACACGCCCCAAGAACACTCACCAACGTCATCTCATCTGGCTCAAACCCCTCCTCCCTCATTTCCATAAACAACCCAATCGCCTCCTTAGCAAAACCCATCTTAGAATACCCTGAAATCATCGAATTCCACGACACCAAGTCTCTGTCACCCATTTCATCAAACACCTTCCGTGCAAAACCCATTTCACCAGCCCTTGCGTACATCGTAATCAAAGAATGATTCACATACTCATCACCATCCAAACCAACCTTAAACACCAGACAATGACCAATCTTTCCATGAACCAAACCCCAAACATTCCCGCAAGCTATAAACAAAAAAGGGTATGTAAAATTATTTGCTTTTAGGCCTAAAGACTTCAGCTTGTAATACAATTCAACACAAAAATCATACTTTTTCCATGTGGTAGCTAACCCACGAAGCATGACATTGAAGGCATAAATATTGGGTTTGGTGAGTTGATTAAAAACAAGGGATGCATAGGCCAAGTCTTTGAGGTCAATGATTTTGGAAAGAAGGAAATTGGGTTTTGGTATTGAGTTTATAAGCATTTGTGCGTGGATTTGTTTTAATAGGTTTTTGGATTTGCATTGTTTTATCAGAGACAAAAGCCTTTCAGTTAAGGTTTGATGATGTTCTTTTTGGGTTTGGAAGTTGAGGTTTGAAAGAGGGAGATGGTAGGGGGATAAAAAAGAGGGAGGTCTTGTCTTGAGCATTATTTAATGGAACTCGACTTTGCTTACACCTCCAAAACATATAACTAAGGCAGCGTTTGCTACTGTCTCTGGACACAACAGGCATAGCATAGATAGTTACCATCATTGTTTTAAAACCTCATCCGGAGATTGTCCAGGACAAGGCCCGAGTTAAAGCAAAAAATTTGGAGCTCATGCAGGTTTTGTCCAGATATTGACCCAAAAAACAAATTTTAAAAATTCAAAATCACTTCTCTTTGATAAAAAAAATAAATATAAGTTTTTTCTTCCAACACCAATTTGATTTCTTGCATGTTCTCATGTAGTCACCAATCAACATTTGACAGATTATATGCCCGGGAGAAGAAACTCTACCAAGAAGTCAGGGTACATCTCAAATTTTTTTGCATAACTTTTTGAATGATGCATTCTGAGCGTCCCTAGTTTTCAAGGCCATGATTATAAAATCGAATTTCAATGTATTTATCTATGCACAGCAGCTAAGAGACGATCCACACAGGATCCCAGTCGCTTCAAAGAGATTTGGAACGGGATTGTCTGTTGAATGAAGCAGAAGTATTGAAATGGTGGAGGTTGGTGAAGTAGAAGATATAATGACTACAGAGAAAATGACTGAAATTGCCGTACAGGTACTTTGTGCAGGAATGTCAGTTGCTATGAGCTCACTGACTGAATTTGCTATTGGTTCTGCAGAGAGGGATATGCAGAATACGTTAAGCAATGGGAGAACGCCATTGCCAAGTGCTCCAGAGTTCTAGCAGGCCTAGGACTTAATTTAGGATATCCCAGTGGCTAATTTTTTTTTATTTATGTGGGGTGTTAATTTAGGATATCCCAGTGGCTAATTTTACTAGCATCAGTGACGCGCACCACGACTAATCTCCACGGTCCACTGAATATCCTGCAAGCCCAATGAGTAGGTAAGACACCACAGGGATGACAGACATGCATGATGAGGTTCGAACCCAGGTGCAGAGAAAGGGACAAGCCCCTCCCACTACTAGACCAGAACCTCACTTACCAGTGCCTAATTTTGCTAGCATCAATTATGTAATTACATTTTTGTAACGGAAATGACAAAGGTAGCGTAGAGCAATTGCTGCTCCTGCTAGCATATTTGTTTGTGATCTGTTAGTTGGCATTCTCACACCCGGACATCGTGATAATCTTAAAAAATTAAATTTAAAAAAATAATGGATTTTTATTTTTTTATTCTTTAATAAAAAAAAATTATTTAAGTAATTGTCACTTAGTATTATAATTGTTAGAAATCCTAACTGGCCAACAGGCTCCTGCTAGCATATTTGTTTGTGATCTGCTAGTTGGCATTCTCACACCCGGACATCATGATAATCTTAAAAAATTAAATTTAAAAAAATAATGGATTTTTATCCTTTTATTCTTTAATAAAAAAAATTTTATTTAAGTAATTGTCACTTAGTATTATAATTGTTAGAAATCCTAACTGGCCAACAGAGATTCTAATAGTACGGGACTAGTTACGCAAAAAAAAAGATACTATCACTCCTTAAAAGTCCTACCTGAAACAGACTGTATTGCTGGTTTTGTCATAAATTACTAACATTTTGTCGGTTTATACTATGATGGTTTGCATGTAATATTTCTGACTCTAGCGCCAGTGAATATTTAACTACGGATATTTCTAACTCTAACGTCGGTAAATATTACGCAGCTATAAAACAAAATAAATCTAGATCAATATTTTTTATTCCTGACTCTGGCGTCAGTGAATAAATAAATAAAAATAAGTTTACTTTTACACATGCACATATTCTTTATTTTTATAGCTAAATAAAATAAAATACAATGAATAAAAATAATATAAATTTGAACTGGTATTTTTATTCCTGACGTTGGCGTCAGTGAATAAACCAATAAATTTATATTATTTTTATTCATGAATACGTATTTTTTTATTTTTCTACTTTTTATTTTATTTTTGGACTAGGCTAGGCCCAACTCAGCCTATAAAGCTGGGCTGGACCCAACAGGCCTAGCAGGGTCATAAGCTTGACCCTGCTGGCCATTGTTTTTTAATTTTTACCAGCAGGTGTGCGTGAACTGCTCACGCATGTCTGCTACATGAAGCATGTAATTAAAGTGCAAGGAGGGATAGAGCAACTTACCTGGTGCTGCAATTGAAGATGATAATGACAGTGAAGGGCCGACCTATTGATGCTATTTTCTCTTCCTCTGTTTTCCTCTTGGTGTCCCTCTAGTCCTCCTTCTCTCTGCCTTCTTTTTCTAAGCACATCCATAGCAAACACAGTAACCAATTAATTATTTTAGCAAGAAAGGAATGAAACTTACCTTGTCGTGTGGCTGCTGAAGGCGAAGTCAAGGGAGACTAGGAAGAAAATGTGTTGAGGGAGGTGGCAGCTAGTATAGGGTTCGCCGCCCCCTTTTTTTATGTTTCTCTCTTTTAGGGTTTCTCTCTAATCGTCCTCCTTCTTTTTTTTTCCTCGTATACTGAGATCAATATTTATAGTGCAAGAGTCTCATTGCTTGCGAGAAATAAAATCTCAATCAAACTCATTCTCTCTTTTTAAGTTCGAATTAGAATCGAATTCGAAAGCAGACAACTATCATTATTTTAAGGATTATCTTAAATAAGATAAGGATTATCTTGAACAAGGTAAAGATTATCTTGATGATGGCAAAGGCACATTGTAGTCTCTAGTTTTCACGCAAGTAGACAAATTATATTCTTCATCAAAATAAATCTATGATCTTTTAATTTTACATTTTAAACCCTGTAAAATTAAATTAAAAGCCAATGAGCTAAAATTAGATTACAACAAAGCTAATAAAAAATGAGCAGCAGATATCCTTAGAAATTTCTGGGATTGGAAACTGCCTGAATCTATCAGAAACGGAAGCTCACATATCTTTTTTCATCTATTTTGTTATAGCATCGCTGAGTCATCCCTCATATTTTGTCCAAATATTGTAAATTGAATAGGTTGCAATCAATAAACAAATGTTTCTCAGCTACGTTAGTTTCTTATAGCTGTTTAGAAAGGTGAACCAACCAAAAAATTGAAAGAATATAACCGGAAACAGTAAACAAAAAACCAGAAACAGGAAGAAGCAATGGGAGTAAATCAATGGGAATTAATGAATGCAAAGCAAGATCCCATAATTTTCATGTTTGCGCCATACTAGACTCAAATGCTATTGGATCCGATAAAGAAGTTACATCCAATACCCATGAAATCAAATCTAATATTATTTAGTTTGGCTGCAGAAACAAATCCAATAATATTAAATCTAGTTTTTGGTTTGGTTGTGTAGCCAAATTTAAAATTATTGAATCTGTATAATCAGATTCATTTAAACTTAAATAGAGCAAGTTTTATATTATTGTTAATATTAAAAATATTATTATTTTTATTATAATTAATATTATAAATGTAATGATTAATAATTTTTTTAAAAAATATTATTAATATTAAAAAATAACTATAGATTTGATTTGAGACATAAAATTAAATTTTTTTATTATTATCATTAATAAATTTGAAATAAAATATTATTATTAAAGAAAAATCATAAATTTAATTTAAAGAGATGAAAAACTATAAAAAATTAAAACAAGTTATTTATTATTGTTGTTATTGTTGTTGTTGGTTATAATAAAAACAAAGGATCATTCATCCAACAATTAAAAAAAAAAGACAAATGTCTTGAGAATTTTTTGTTTATTAAGATGAAATGTCATTTCTTTATATTCATTGCTGCCATTTATTGTTATATTTGCAGTAGTTCAAACATAACAACAAATTCTTTTTGCAGCTGCACTAGCACATTTTAGTGGATTTTCTCGGCCTCCTTCATCTCGTTTCTTTTTTTATTTTCTCTCATAACACTTCCTTGTACTTATATTAAATATGTATTTGATAATATTTAATCATTTTGAAATTAATATTTATATCTTTTAATTTCACACTTCATTTGTGTTATGTAGATAATTATATATAAGTTTTTCTTTCAAATTTATTATAGTATATAAAAATATTGATCCTTTCTTAATATTTTTCCCTTCATCCCTTGATCAAAAGTTTTATATCAATCGATTCTTTAATATTTAAATTTTTTTCTATTACTTATGGAAACCCCTCAAATAATATTTATACCTCAATTTTAAACCTATATTTTGATTATAGAATAAAACATTAAGTGCATTCGATTGTGCTAGAAATAAAAAAAAAAATAACTTAAATAAAATACACTAATAAATTAAATTTGTATTAAACTCGAATTCAAAAGAATATTAAATCCAAACTCAAAAATAATATTTGGGTAATTTATTGAGTAGAAAATGTTATTGCCCTACTATACCATAATTTTAATGGGGTAATTTATTGAGTAGAAAATGTTATTGCCCTACGATACCATAATTTTAATGTTTATCAATATAATGTGCTTTTTAGATTTTTTTTCTGATTGAAATAAAGTTTTTTATTATTACAATCATGTCAAATTAAATTTATCATAGTTTATTAAAAATTCAAAAAAAAATATAAAAAGCTATCATAGTTTATTAAAAATTCAAAAAAAATATATACAAAGCGAATTCTATATATATATATATTAATTTTTAATATTAGCTATGATAAAATTTTAAGTTAATGAATTAAATGCACCGTTAAAAGTATTTACGCTTTTCATTTTAGAAACTTTTAAATAGTGTTTTATATGGTCACGTCCTAAAAAAAATGAAGCATTGTAATGAAGAAATAGCCAGTCTATGGATCCCGACAAATACTAAGGGCATATGCAGAAATCCTTGGCAGCTGTCCTTAATGCTAGCAGCATAATGTTACCAACTTGATTAATTTCTGACAAGAACTTGTCTCACATCGTCCTCTATTTCTACACATTATAGGTTGTACTAGCATGCACCATGTTCTTTGTTCTGCATTTCATTAATGTTATCATTCTCCCTCTGCTGCATCGGGATCTTCCTTTAAACAGCTTGCTCCCATCTGCGGTCGTTTTAGCTGCAACAACATAATAAAACACCAATGAGTACAATTCTTGATTTACAAACACGGATAAATGAACTTGTTCTTCAATCAGAAAATTAATCACATGATTGTTTATTCCACCAAAAATCACTCTCATCAATCACTGCCAAATGATCGTATCATTTGGGGGTGGGGGTCTTCTAATCAAGGGAACTTCACCGCAAAGTCAGCACATGCTATTTTTTCAGGGCAGGTTTGGGATGCGGTGCTTCAAATGTTGGAAGATTGTTTGGAAATGTCCTGGGCTCCAACGGATTCCAGTTTTCCTATGGCTGGTTTTGCATAATCGCTTGTTAACAAATGTGGAATGTGAGTTGCAAATAACGACATATGACTGATGTTAGCTCTACACGTGCGCCCTCTTTGGTCAGACATGGTAGAACAATCAACACAACTCACGCGCACAGCCAATAGCTTGACGGAGAGGCGTGCCAATTACCATTACACTTCCCAAGTACATAAACATAGAATTAACTGATAAACTAAAGGAAAGAAACATGGTAGCCAAGAAAGTACATGAAAAATGAAAAGGAATGAACCAACAATTGGAGAAGACAGCAGAATGTGTTATTCAATTGATGAAGCAGAAAACATTTGCCAAGCAATCACAGTACTCACATTATGAGATGATCCAGCAAGACACGTCAGCCTTGATTTTGTGTTCGCCTCGGCCAATGGATTTGGCTTCTCTTTCATGGACATGCGAACATCCCAAACACGTATAACCCCATCAGATGATGCAGATGCCAATAAATATGGATCATCCACGGTGCTGTCATTCCTCATGAGCACAACAATACCTTTCACACGGGCAGAATGTGCATCATCAATGCAATATGCAACCTTCCCACTATTCACATCCCATGCTGTAATACTCCGATCCTCACCACCAGTGAACAGAAGTCCATTCTGTCAAAATTAGGGAAATTAAGCATAAAAATGAAAGATGGCAAAGATATGGTCATACCCAGAAAACGATGTGGGCTTGCATGGAAATACTGGTGTTCTAGATGTTCATCCATCTCCATTCCACAATTAGGAGTTTGCATATAGATGCCAAGCACATCCAGTTTTATGAGATGGGAGTCTAGCTACAAGTCTGAAAGCAATAATCCAACTTCATTTGGATAGAAGTAGAATGCTCTTCTTAGGTAGTTATGACAAGCAGATTAAATAAACTTAAGCATAATTCTAAAGCAGAATCTGATCAGCTGTTTGCATGCCCATGAATAACATATGGGAAAACTAGTTGTAAAGCAAAGAATGGAGTCTTGGAAGACCTACACTTCAGGGAAACCAAGCCCCTTTGAAATCATTAAATTGTAAAGCCATAAACAAATTGACATATAAGGATCTGAGAGATGAAGCATGATAAGTTGAGTATGCCATAAATTCTTACAGCAAATTTAATGTGATACAACTCTTGCCAAATGAAGGTGACATGTGCAAGCAAAAATTTATATCAACACTTTTAGTAAGAAGCTAGGAAGCTTAGTGGTAATATAGTTCAACATGAACAGTGAGTCTCAAACTTGCTGACAAGTTTAATGGGGAGGACTGATTAATAACAAGATCATTCTCTTCATAAGGACAATTCAAGAGGGTCAATCAAGCAACGAAGGTGAATTGAATCAATTAATGAAATCATTTAAGAGTAATAACAACAACTATATACACAACTAAAACATAAAATCATGGACAGGGACAGAAACCAAAATCAATCAAAATGAGAAATGCATTACATGTGCTCATCCTTCTTCAGCGCACACATTTAATAGTTTTCTTTGATATATATGCCAAGCACGTTGATTTTTGTGTGATGGAAGTTCAGAAACAAGTCTTATGTCAATTTTGAACTTCATTTAGAAAGAAGCAGAGGGATCTTCCTGGGATGGGTATGATAAGCAACTTAAATAACTCAAGACTGATCCTGAAATAGAATCAGACCATGTAGCTACCTAGATAACATATAGGAAAATAAATTGTAAGAGAAAGAATGTCAAGGTATAGAACGAATCGTTCTCTTTCTTAAAGATACCAAGCCCACTGACATAATTAATCAGCACAGCAATAATCAAAACCCTTTGTAAAGATGTTTTCAGAAATGAAGAGATGATAACTTGATTTGTATCCGACTTACAACAAATCAAACCTGAGTCAACAAATGGTGTTGCAAAATACAAACAAAAATCATTAGTATGAGTTTAGGAAGCTTAATAGTTACAGAGCTTATTTCCGTATGAGCGAATTCTCAATTCAACAAGAATTTTGCATGCCAAAACCAAGCTTAACAGGAAAGACTAACAAGCTATTCTCTTAGCATAAAGGATCATTGAACTGTGATAAATAACAATTCAAGAAAGAAACAAGTTTAATTAACAACAACAACAATGAGAATATTTAAGATCGTATCACAAAACAAAACAAAATCAAGCTACCACCGGCAACAAGAAACTAACCTCTCCAGGAGCAGCAGAAAGAACCCGTTTCTTACATTCAAATTCAGTCAACAATTTAGCATCTTCAGCCTCATGAACCCCAACTTTCTCCTCAGTAACCATAAAAAACTTCTCCCCACCCAAATCAAACTTCACCAAACTGGCCTCCTTCCCCAATCTACAATAAAAGCTTCTTCTCCCCCTCACCAAATTCAACATCGCCAAACACTCATCTCTTCCGACAGTAAGCGCCAACTTCCCAGACGGGTGCACCGAGAGGTCGTTGACGGCCTTCTTGTGGACCAAAACAGTCTTCAAGTGGACAAAAGGGTCAGTGTCAAAAATGCAAACGGAGCCATCAGCAGAGGCAGAGAGAAGGTTACGAGGGAAAGAGAGGGAAGGAGGGGTGAAGAAGGTGACAGAGGTGACGGAGGAGGTGTGTTGGTGGAGGGAGCCGAGGGAGGAAGCAGAAGGGAGGTCATAGAGGTGTATTGTGTCGTCAGCAGATCCAGAAGCGGCTGCGGGGCCGGCGGCGGCGGCGGAGGTGATGTGAGCGAGGTGAGATTGATAATCCAGAAGCGGCGGCGGGGCCGGCGGCGGCGGCGGACGTGATGTGAGCGAGGTGAGATTGATAGGAGAAAAGTGGGGTTAGCGTGAGGTTTTGAGAAGAAGGTTCGTGTTTTAAAGTTTTGAGTTTGAAACCCCATATGAATTTCTCGTAGGAGCCTGCTATTAGACTCATTGTTCTTCTGTTTGCTTGCTAGAGGGTTTGGTGATTCTGCCAAAACCCTACAAATACAACAAGACTGAAAATTAGGGTTTTTCCAGGCAAAGGGTCTCTCTTACGACATTAAAATTGTCATCAATATAGAGAAACTTACAACTAGAAAAATAGCTTCAACCTAAATCAACCTAAGAAATAGCGTTTAATTAAAAAAGAATTAAAATGCATAAGTGATTTATTTGCGGTTATGCATAAGTGCATGGTTTTTTAATTATAATAAAAATAAAATAATTATAACATAAATAATATTGTTTTTAATATTAATATTTTTAATAATAAAAAAATAATTCTATTTTTAACTATTGTTTTTAATATTAATATTTTTAATAAAAAAATAATAATATATTTAATATTAATAATTTTATTCATAATAAAAATAAAAATAATTATAGCAAAAATAATTTTTTTAATATTAATAATATTTTAATTTTTTTTAATTATTTTATTAATAATATTAATTATAATAAAAATAATAATATTTATACAAATAATAATATTTTTAATATTTACATTATTAATTATAATAAAAATAATTATATTAAGAGTTTCCATGATGAAGTTTTTATATTAATAGTAGTGTTATAATAATATTTGTAATATAAATAATACTATTTTTATCTGAATATTTTAAATTATAAAAAAATTATTTATAATATATATATTATTATATTAATACATATGATTAGGCGTGGATTCGAACATACCTAATATTTACATAGCGTTATAATAATATTTGTAATATAAATAATATTATTTTTATCTGAATACTTTAAATTATAAAAAAATTATTTATAATCTAATTATTATATGAATACATATGATTAGGCGTGGATTCGACCATACCTAATATTTACATGGGGTGAATGCCAGGTGGCGCTTGAGTCTGGTCCTCACATTGGATCGTCCAACCGCTATGTCATGATGGGTTTTCCAAGCAGCACGTGGCATTGGAGCTACCCAAGCTATTCAAGCGTAGTGTTGTGGCAGCCGAATCCAATCAGGTCTTCGCCCTGATCAAGCGCCTTATGATATTGTGGCTGCCGAATCCAAGGAGTCCTTCGGCGGAGACCCTAGCAACTCGTGGTATTGTAGCTGCCAAATCCAATCAGGCCTGTTGCCAAGACTCAGATGTAATGTTGTGGCGCTTGGGTCTGCAGTGCCCGTTAATTGACGGACCCCCCCCGCCGCGCTTAGGGGTAATATTGAAATATACAGAAAAATGTAGTAGCTGTGTAAGAAATAAGAAGTGAAGTTTACCCTATGGTAACAAGTTCCACTGTCATGTCCAAACTCCTGTCGAAATAGCCGCTTAAGGTCCTCTGTCTCCTCTACGATCTTTCTTCTTTCTCCCTTCAAGGTTTTTTCTTTATAATCTGTTACAATGGAAGCTCAAAATTTGCTTTCTGGGTTTTTCCCAAACTACAAGATTCCATTAACCTGGACCTCTAAAAAACCCTTCTCTTCTTCTTTACCATCGAACCCTTCTTTTCACTCTTTGCTTCAATCCCACAATTGCGTATCCTTCAAAACACACCATTCACCATGCTTTAAAGGGTCTTTGAAGAAGATATTTTTTTGTGTAAATGCTTCAGAAAATGCTGTTCTTGAAGAGAAAGATTACAAGAGGCCCCGGGTTGTTAAAAGGAAGAAGCTAGCTGTTTTCGTCTCTGGTGGTGGTTCAAACTTTAAGTCTATTCATGATGCTTGCTTCGAGGGGTTAGTTCATGGAGATATTGTTGTTTTGGTTACGAATAAACCTGGTATGTTTTTCCTTTTATTTTCTTTATAATCTTTTTATGTGCCTCAACTGGCCACCTTGCTGGTAAAGTCACTGTCTTTCTTTTGATGTGTTTTTGGGTGTTCTCGGTTTTGTTGCCCAAGTTCCGTGTTTGTGTTTGTAATTTGGTGCCCCTTACACGTGATTGATTAGTAGTGAGAGTGTTTATTGATTGTGGCTTTCGTTTGGTTTTTTTTTTTCCTGGTTTTTAAGCACTCCATGAGATGATTAGTGTAACTTGCTTACTCTTTAGATTGTTAAGAAGAATCTTTTGATCAGAATTTGAGGCATTCTACAATTTGTTATTTGTATCTTTCCCTTAAGGAGCTAGATATGTGTTACAAGCTAAAAAAAAAGGAGCTAGATATGTGTTACAAGCTAAAAGACAACGTAAAAAATTGTTGTTTGGAGATGTAATGCTTGAATTTTGTGTGGCATTTGCATAAGACTTCATATGTGTTCCTTCTATTTATCTCACAGATTGTGGAGGTGCAGAGTATGCAAAAAATAAGGAAATCCCTGTTGTTCTGTTTCCTCGAACAAAAGATGCTGCTGATGGGTTATCTCCTAGTGACCTTGTTGCAGCTCTTAGGTTGGGCTTGCTAACTTGTATAATTTATCTTTCTTACTTTTGTTGGCATTTGTGAATCTAGAATTACTATTTATGCTTTGTTAACTAGTGAGATGGTTCCCTCACACACATATTTTACCTTCATTCAAGCTCTAGTCTCCTGATTAATCCTTCTAGATTTTCAGACTTGCAGCCATTATATAAAGAGTAGTTATGTGGAAATAAGTGCTGGGAATTTCTAGCTTGTAGGCTATCCATGATTGATTAGAGATATGTTGTAAGAATTATGGTCACTTGATAATGTAACCAAAGGCTCCTCTTTTGCCTTTCATTCCCTCTTAACCTGAATCATCTTATAGTGTTTAAGCATATGCAAGTGCTTGAGTTATTGTGTTCTTGGGGCGATTGTTAATGGTGTCGCTGACCCATCTGTTATGGAGTCTGAGGTTCCTGTTTTAGCTAGTAATTTTGGATGCTCTCAACCCAGTATTGTCTGTGCAGTATGCTTTAGATATTAGAATTAATGGAAAAAAGAACACAAATTCTTTAAATTTTAAAGAAATTTGCTCAGTGGTCCAAATTTTATTGAGGAAATATAACTCTTGAGGTTTTATATAATGAAATTATACGATTCAGTACGGCCGCCTCCAGCTATCTTGCCAACTTAATGAAGTAACTTAAATGGAGTTGAACAAATTGCATAGGCAATTAACAAGTTTCATTTTCTCTTCATTGTGGTATTGACATTGTATGTCATAGTTATGTCCTGCACATAGGCCTCAGAAATTTGAAAGAATGAGAGAAAAATGTACATGAATCATACACTCCATATAATCTACAATACAGCCATGAAACTTTTTTCCAGTGTTTCCCATGTCATTCTAGCATAATTCTGGAACGATGTTATACTAACTGGAAATTATATGTTCTTTTACCTTTCCCTGAGAAAACAGAAAAAGAAAAGGAAAAAGAAAAATAGAAGAGGAAGAAGGAGAAGAAAGAAATATTTAGTGTTTGAGAAATGTGCTTCTGAAATTTTTCAAATTGCATACAGATAGATCTAGTGCAATTTCTATGTAGACAAACAAAACTAAAAAAAGGGTAATGATTACTAAAATATGCATATAATGTTTAATGCATTTTCTTAATCAGGAGTCTTGAGGTTGACTTTATTCTTCTGGCTGGATATCTCAAACTTATACCAGCTGAGTTGATCCGAGCATATCCCCGATCCATATTGAACATCCATCCATCACTGCTTCCAGCTTTTGGTGGCAAAGGTTATTATGGTATGAAGGTGCATAAAGCGGTCATTGCTTCAGGAGCCAGGTAATTACATATCATGGTGTTACATGTTTCGCTATCTCTACGCAAAATCATGAATTTTTTTGGAAAATGTAACCAAAATTTATGTCCTATTTGCGCTCCCCCCCCCCAAAAAAAAAAAAAAAAAAAAAACAAACAAACAAACAAAAAAAAAAGTTATTGTAAGTGTTCTGAACAAGTGTCCTTGTGCCCTTTTTGCCTGGTTAGATACTCAGGGCCAACCATCCACTTTGTTGATGAGCATTATGACACAGGGCGTATCCTGGCTCAAAGAGTTGTACCTGTGCTTGCAAATGACACTGCAGAGGAGCTAGCTGCAAGGGTACTCCATGAGGTAATGAAGCAGTATTCTTTTTCTTTTTCTTTTTTTCTCTGGACAAACACATTTTAATTTATTCTTGCCGTCAAATTGATTTCTTTTACAGTTTATGATGTCCTCATCAGTTTATCCAGATGATTATCATAAATATTGAACCTATATTAGTGCATTAGTCAATTTGTTTGATTTGAGGACGGTTGTCAAACTTGTTCTTGATAGCTTCACAAGATGATGTTATTCAATGATGAAACTGTTATTTTCTTGGAGATGTTCATCCAGGAATTACTATACAAGAACCTACTATTGGATGACTAGGGTATTTTGAACTTACTATTTAGTGTATTATAAGATTGCATTTTGGCTTCAAATTTATTTAGTAATCTTCCTTTGCTTTTCAATAATAGGAGCATCAGTTATATGTGGAGGTAACAGCTGCATTATGTGAAGAACGTTTAATTTGGAGGGAAGATGGTGTCCCTCTCATCCAAAATAGGGGAAACCCCAATGAATACAGCTAACATAATCAAATATGTTCCGCTTATAGGTAAGGTCTTGACTGAAACCTGAATTCTCTCTCGACCAACCTATTTAAACAATTCTATGCCTTCATAACATGTATTGCTTGGTAGCAATCAGCTCACCTAACTATTGATTTCCTATTCATTTGCAGGTTGTATCCTGTTGAAGCGTGTGACATACATGCAGATATTTTGACAACAGCATGATAGGGGATGTACTTTCTAACTAAGGTTGTCTTGACACCCTAGATTGCATAGAAAATGATGTTCATTTCCTAGCGTTTCCAAGCTTTGCCTAAAGCGTACATGGTTTATAAAAATCTATCTCTTCATAAAAATGATATTTTGACAACAGCCAAATGGTTTTGCTTTATGGGTGTGATGTCAAATCTGATGTAAGTATGTATGTTCCAGTTCTTTCAATGGTCGAGAGTTTTTTGACTCTGGGCAGTCTAGACACTTGAGCTACATGGCCTTGGCTAACATCTTAAAAAAGTTACTTAAAATAGATCTATTTTTATAGCTTTCGGAGATCAGCTCTCTCGATGTATAGAATCTGCATGTGCTTTGGAATGTTGAGCAGTAACTTTGGCACCTATATTTCTCAAGTTCATTTAATTGAATAAAAAGAAAGTAACAAATGACTGGAAAAGCGGCTTAGGAGCTGGCGTCTGGGTTGGTGTAGGGCAATTGGTATGCCATCAATGCATAAGCCATAAAGAATGGTGCCAGGAGTATTTCTTGTTGTGGATTTTGGAAGAGCTTCTGATTGCCACTCCAATGTGGGTATTGTTTTGGTGACAACCATTTTCTAACACTGCAAGAGGGTAGGTATCTGATTATTAATGGAATGCCTATAAGTTCACCATGGTTCATGGCTCTTTCTCACTACACTGTCAACTGTTGATCAATGGCCATGGTGATACTGTGTTTTCTGACTTGTAACAAAGTTTCTGAGCTGTCTAACGATGTTTTTGAAATCTGTCTGATTGGCTGAAGTTTACCAAGTGCTAGCAACGGAAGCAACCAGCCAACTACTAATCATCCTAACCAATATGAGTAACGGCATGAGTTTTTTCTTGGAATCACTCTTCTTTCACCCCACAAGTCAGCCTTATATCACCCTACTCGTGTATAACAGAAACTGGTCGTTAACAGCTCAAAGCAGGATGAACGGCTGTTTTCTGGTCTCTAAAATTATCTCCCATGGCAAAAGTTCAAAAGAACCCTGGCATCCTCTGCCCTAAATCGTTTCCTAACTGGGATTGACAGGAGAGTAAACTATTGTAGCAAGCTTATGGAGACTCGAAGGACTTCACCTTTTCAATCTCTAAGCTGGGTCGAATCATTAAGAATGAGTTGCACATGCCAAAAACTCATTGCATGAGATCACTGTCATGGCATTAATGCCGGCCACTGAACGCAAAAGGGTACACACTTAAATGTTGATCACTTGCACGATATTCCACCACGATGAAATTCCACCGTGATTTCATCGGGTGATTTGGTAGGCTCTTGCTCTTGCCATAACTGTGACGATTAGGGTGGTCAGTGGCCAAAGTTTATGCTGGCTTTAGTCTCATGTTAAATATAAAAGACGAGTGTATTTGGCTGAAGAGACTGAGAAAAAACCATAATATAAATCTATTTTTATAATAATTTTAAAATAAATTCATATTTTCTTAAAATTAAAAATATAAAAAAGCATGCCACTTCTATCTCCAGTATTTATGTTTAATTAACTTCATTTCAAGCTTATGCTTCAATAAATCAGGCCCATTTGAAGTGTATATCAGTCTTTCAGGTGAACATGTTCTTGAGTAGACAAACCACATTTGAACTGTTAAAAAGGAAAAATGTCAGATGGGATTCAACTACTACTCGCAGAGCATTAATGGTAGGGCATTTGGTGTCACATTATCTGACTGGGACAAATATTTCTCATCACCATGCTATTCTAGACTCCAACAATACCATTGAGTGTCAGGTTGCGATTTGCTATCAAAAAGAGATGGGCTCTTCTCCATTACTCTCTTTCCTTGTTCTCACCACTCTGATGTTCTTGTTCGTCACCCTTTCCCATTCTTCAGAGTACGATGTTGCTCAAGAACCAGCGCCTCCTGTTACTCTGGACTGATTTGGTAAACCTGCTCTCTCAGATAAATACTCTCTGATAAATACTCAACTGTGAACAGAAATAAACATGGTGGAAAAACAAGCATTTATTGTAATTTAGATGACACAATTCAGCCACAGAATGAAATTGATCTTCAGTAAATTACTATGCAGAAGAAGCACTTTAATTTAGATGATACAATTCAGCCACAGAATGAAATTGATCTTCAGTAAATTACTATGCAGAAGAAGCACTTCAATTTCATCAAGTGTGTCGAAAAGCAATATAAAGCTCCTGATAGAAATGGAGCAGAAGAATCCTGGGAAGTATGTTCTGGTAAATTGAGACTGTCTGCACAATCCATTAAGAAATGCTATGACAGTGGACATGGAAAAAAGGTTTGGTTCATCCACTAATCACATTTTATTTCATTAAAAATTTAATTAGACTTGTTTGCCTGGAATTCAGACAAGCCTAAAGGTAGGCGATTCAAATTATCAAGAGGGTGGTGCACAGTTTGAGATGCAAAGTTACTTGCTATGGTTCTTGGCTTCTTTAAGCACTTCTTCCTGTCGTGTATAATGAAGCATACTGCATTCCAAGTTTAAATGATGTTTCAAGTAAAAAAACATGCAGCTTGTCCTACAAAATGAAAAAGAAACAGATCATCTCAGACTGCCTCACGAATACGTGCCATGGGTGGTTGTAGATGATACACCTCTCCTCGGTGTCAGTCTCAACCCTTCTACAATCTCTATTCCCCTCTGAACAATATCCTTGTTTGTGTTTATTTATTTATATATTTATTTTTTTAATGCAGGACTATGAAAGTTTCATTCACTATGTTTGCATGGCATACAAAGGCAAGTCTTTGCCCAAGACTTGCAGTTCACATCCCAACACCTCAATTAACAAGGACACCTCACTCCAATCAGTCTGTCATGCAAGTGAAGAGAGGTCAGGTGACAGTTCAGGGAAGCACCAGATGAAGATGGAACCCCTTGCATGATTATTATACATGCATCCTTTTATTATAGAATATAATAAGGGGAGTATGTACCTATGGCTTTCAATTTTCCAGGCATGGTTCTTGCACAAGGAACTCCCCAGGTGGATTCCTGCAGTTCATAAACCATAGAGTGATGTAATTAGTGGTTCTGCAAGCATATAAATGAAAGGGAAAATGCATTTAATGAAGTTCCACTCCATGTGCTGTGATTTCGTAGCTTTCATCCAGAAAAATCATATCAACATTCTCCTTTTCTCCTTCTTTTGAGAAAAAAGTTGGCCTTTTTTGATAATGAATAGAATAGCAGGGAAACAAGGTTTATAAACTTTCACATCTCATTGCTGCAACAAAAGTGAACATACAAACACTAGAATGCAATGCCTCACAAGAGCACCATCACATCTGAAGGGACGAAAGCCAAATACATTCAACAAAAGAAGACCACCGCCTACAAAATAAGTGACCAAAGTATATCACAGAAAGACTCATTAAAACCAAGTAGAAGCACACAAGCCAGCTGAAGATATCCAAACATCTATTGCTTATTTATCATCTCCCAGATGCCCTGACATATTTCAAATGAACTTATCTTTGTCGGATCAAATTCAAATTTCTCAACAGCCTTGTTATCTCTATGCACAATATCTATAACCAATATTAAGGACAGTCAACCTTTCACGATTAGCAAACAGCATTGAACCTGAAAGAAAGGCACTCAATAGGAAGAAGGAATTTCAACACAACAAAAAAAACAAAACAAAAGGAAATCCATGTGAGTCGATTGTAATATAAAGGATACGGCCAGAGATTTTGGAGTGATCATCCAAGTCTGGAATGATATTAGTCACAGATGCATACATTGAAAGCATCCTCCTGCAAGCACAAACAAAAATGGGAGGCATTACTAGGTATCACACAGTCATCAACACCTCGTCTTTGCAATGCTTATTAAAAAACAAATGCACATTATAAGATTCAATATTCACAACTGGGATTGAACACAAAGACTTTAAAAGATTAAACAATCGAAATCAATCTTCTGAATTACCAGTTGATCAAGCTACTAATAACATATAATCATTTTGGGGACGCACAAAAGGATAACACAATCACAACTTTCTTACCGAACAGTTCAAGTAATCAATTTTTTATTTTTATTATTATTCTTATTAACTATAACTAAAATGGATGAATATTTCATTGTAACAGAATTTATCATAAATTGCATCGTTGTTTTGCACTGTAGTGTTTTTATGAATGCTTTCACTGTAAACTATGAGAGCTTTTATCATGTACTACACTATTTATTTATTGTAAAATTAACTATTATGTATTGTGAGTGAATTTACTATGAATTGTACTATTTTACATTATAATAACCTTGTTAGTGCTTTTATTGTAAATTGTGAGAGCTTTTACTATAGTTTACACTGTTTGGTAAGGGCATGTGTGAGGATACAACTAATAGTTCCAAGCGCCAGACTGGAGGCGCGCCCATTGGGGATGCAGATATTTGAACTAAAATGGATGAATATTTCATTGTAACAAAATTTATTATAAATTTCATCGTTTTGCACTGTAGTGTTTTTACGAGTACTTTCACTGTAAACTATAAGAGCTTTTATTAAGGATTGCACTGTTTATTTATTGTAAAGTTAACTATTATGTATTGTGAGTGAATTTACTATGAATTGTACTGTTTTACACTATAATAGCCTTGTTAGTGCTTTTATTGTAGATTGTGAGAGCTTTTGCTATAATTTACACCGTTTGGTAAGGACATGTGTGAGGCTACAACTAATAGTTCCAAGCGCTAGGCTGGAGGCGCGCCCATTTGGGGATGCAGATATTTGGCGCTTAGCTAAGAGGCCTGGGCACTAGGCATTCCACGCCCACTAGTCGTGCCCCCGGCTATAGCCACCCGGGGCACAGCCTACCCCACTTGGGGCGCTTAAGTTGTCTCCTATGTGCTGAGTAAACTAAACGCATATATGATACTTGGACTAGTACTTGTGTGAGAAATACTATTATTTTTATTATAATTAATAAAATAAGTAATAAATTTAAAAAAAAAATTATTATTAATATTGAAAACATATTACTTTATATTATACATTCTTATGATATTTTTTATAAAAATAAAAAGTGAGCCCGCCATACTATTTTTTTATAAAAATAAAAAGTGAGCCCGCTGCCATACAGTATTATTAAAAAATTTCAACAATTCTAAGTATTAATATAAAACTTATTATAATTTGTGTTGTAAATATTATTATTTTTCTTCTAATATAAAGTATTCATCTAAAAAATTTATATAAAAAAATATTATTATTTATGTTATAAATATTATTATTTTTCTTATAATTCAAAGTATTCATATCAAAATATTACTATTTGTGTTCTCAGTATTATTATTTTTTTATAATTCAATGTATTCATATCAAAGGTATTATTATTTTTATGATAATTCAAAGTTTTAGTATTATTATTTTTATGATAATTCAAATTTTTAATATAAAAAATATCATTATTTGTGTTATAAATATTCTTGAAATTAAAAATAGTATTATTTGTGTTATAAATATTATCATTTGTACTATAATCAAAAGTATTAAAATTAAAAATATTATATTTTATGTTATAAATATTATTATTTTTATAATAATAAATATTATTAATAAAATAATTACTAAATTCAAAATGAATTATTATTAATATTGAAAAACAACCATAAATTTAATTTAAAATATAAAATTAAAAATTATTATTATTATTATCATTATCATCATTATCATCATCATTGATAAATTTTAAAAAGTATTATCATTATAAAAATAAAAACTATATAGAAACATGTGATGTTTGGAATGTCTGTGTATCGACAAACCAATCGCACAGGTAACATTTGAGTTGACTGTTATTTGATGGGCCAACCTTAATATACACGTGACACGCCTAGACGGAACTATTCTTGAGTCCTGCTGCATAATCTTAAATAACCTTTGTCTTGTATATATAATTTTTTTATATATAAAATAAAAAATCTTACAGTGCAGGAGTGCATGCAACATAACTAGTATATCCCTGCAAAAAGTCCTATCCCTTTGGAATTGTGGTTAGATAACACTTCTTATCATCAAAAGATACCAACAGTCTCTAATGCACATAATTATCGTATAAATTATTATACACAGGATCTCTTCCTCTTCTCCAGAACCAAACCTAAATATCATGAAGTTCAGGCAAAAATACCAACTTGGTGATCTAAGACCTTCACCCAGGCCCTTCCATTGCTCTTTTCCAAGAGTAATTCTATGGCTTTGCTTCTCAATTTCTCTTCTCTGCAACCTTTATATCTTGAATTTACTAGATTATTCAATAACTCCTAACAACATTAAACACTTTAATAAACCTTACATCCTCAGCATCGAAGAACATAAGAAAGCAGAAAACACAAGTCTTCATCACCTAGTTTTTGGCATTGCTGGATCTTCTCATACATGGAGCGAGAGGCAAAAGTGTATTCAGTTATGGTGGAGACCTGATGAGATGAGGGGTGCAGTTTGGTTAGATCAGATAGTGAAAAATGGTGCAAACGATCATCTTTTGCCCCCGATAAAAATCTCCAGTAACACATCACCTTTCAAGTATGAAAATCCTATTGGCGACAGGTCTGCGTTACGGTTGACAAGGATAGTGTCAGAGACCTTGAAGCTAGGCATGAAGGATGTGAGGTGGTTTGTGATGGGAGACGATGATACACTATTTTTTCCTGATAATTTGGTTAAGGTCTTATCAAAGTACGACCATAATCAGTATTATTATATAGGGAGCACATCAGAGAGTCACAAGCAGAATATAGTCTACAATTATGGTATGGCTTATGGTGGTGGTGGTTTTGCTATAAGTTATCCTCTAGCAAAGGCTTTAGCAAGGATGCAAGATAGATGTATTGAGAGATATCCAGGTTTATATGGATCTGATGACAGGATTCATGCTTGCATGTCTGAGCTTGGTGTCCCTCTCACCAAGGAACGAGGGTTTCATCAGGTTAGTTAAATTTATTCGATTTGTTTTCTTCAAAATTAAAAGTTTAACAATCTATTTTTTTTGCATTTTTTCTTATCAGAACGATTTCTACGGCAACATATTTGGCATCCTTGCAGCTCATCCTATCACCCCTTTAGTCTCCCTCCACCACTACAATGTTACTAATGCAATATTTCCGCGCATGGATAAGTTAGAAGCCCTAGAAAAGCTAAGAGTTCCGGCCAAACTAGACTCTGCTGCACTCATGCAACAATCCATTTGCTACGACGCAGCACGAAATTGGACTGTATCGGTATCATGGGGCTATGCAGTTCAAATAATTCGGGGCATACTTCATCCACGAGAAATAGAAATGATAGCAAGGACATTTTACAGTTGGTATCAGACAGTTGAACGTGAAGGTTTCATATTCAACAACCGTCCCTATTACGAGCACGTATGTCAGAAGCCATTTGTGCATTTCTTTTCTAATGCAACGTACAACAGCAGTACAGATCAGACACTCAGTGAATACATCAGGCATGATCATCGGTACCCACGTTGTGATTGGAAAATGGCCGATCCTTTGCCAATAGCTCGAGTGGAGGTTCTAAAGAGACCCGACCCTTATGTATGGGATAGGGTAAGAAAATCTCTTTTAAACTACTTGTTTTATTTGCTTTTTTTAAGAAATATTAATGTGATAATGTTATAGTTTTTAATTTTTATGCGTGCGTGTTGAGTAGGCTCCTAGAAGAAACTGTTGCAGGATCTTACCCACGGAGAAAAATGACACACTGGTAGTCGATGTCGGAGAATGCAGAGAAGATGAATCCATTGAAGTACGGTGACGGAAATGGAATAGAGCCCATCTTTCTTCTCCCTTCAATGTGCCTTACGTAATTGATTATGTTTTCCTCCTATGACCATATATAGCATTAGATACGTTGATGATGGAAAATCTCGTGTGGCATAAGAGAAAAGGAGTTTGTTCATTCATGTAAGATATTTTGATTGAATTCACGACAACCTCAAAACTTATATAGCGTGTTTTTTCAACATTTGCCATAGAAGCAA